GCAGATTGGGTTAATTACATCCCGTTATCCTCGTGGCCAACAACGGGACGTATGGCAGGAAGGTGCATTGATTTGCAATGTTAAACCGATATTAAGCAGTTTTCAAATCATTACGCGATACAAGGCAAAATTCAATGTATTTGCATGTTGCGTGGCTTTATTTGCGTTTAAAATTTGACAATTGCGTAAGAAGATTAATATTCCTAATTTCCGTATCGGAAACAAGCTTGCCTTCTTGCGGAATTGAATAATTTCAATTTGTCCCCTGCATGTTACACTTTGGTAACATCGTTCTCACATCCGGGCATCGATCACGTTAATATTAATCGCTAGAAAAATCTATTTTTAATTCGTAGATGACATCGTGCGAGTTATAAATAAACGAAACCTGCACGCGTTTTTATTTGCATGTCGCGGTAGTTAGGAGCACGAAATTGCAGAGGTTGTTTGCATTAATAATTCGAGAATTTCGTCGGAAAATAACAAGTAGATTATATTACAGATAAATACATTTTTCTGTCACAAAATTGAGCATATCAACGTTTCCTAATACTACTTCTTCTTCTTATGTTATTATTGCTTAATAGAAATTTGCAATTTTTTAGTAAGATTGTTAAATGAAAATTTTTTAAAATATACTAAAAAATTCGATCAAGTCCGTAATGCTTATTTATTAAAATGAGCGTCTGCGATAAAAAGTTCTTGCATTGTTTCTGAATGCAAAACACATTAAGATTCAATTCAAAATATGCAGAGAAACACGTTTTATTGGTAAGGACTTCATTTATTAATTTTGCTCGTCACGCTGCTGTCGCAATTCAAATGTACGCATATTGTGGAGATGTAATGGAATTTATAACTCACTCGGTATTTTTATCAGTCCGTAAATTCTTGCTCTTTCAAATTGAAAAAGTGACAGATATTCCATTTATTTGCGCGATGGAATGATCAAATATTGATTTTCATCCGACCAGATTGTTGCTTTGTATATTGGCAAAAGTGTTCTCCGATGAGATTAGCCTCGCTTATTATCGAAACGCGTGTCAACATTAGGGTCAGCCATGCGTGCTATAATCAATTCTCGCCCTACGCGCCCTTTTTGTGACCTCCCACTCGTTACGTTTACGTGCGTAGAAAAATTTCAAAGGTTGTGCTCCCGTTGTACATTTATGCGGCACGGCACACGGTAGCCGAGTGTTCCAACAGTGTTGTTTTATTACTACGACAGTTATTAAAATTTGTGCGAATGATAATGCCGCTCGCGCGCGACACGAAACAATCCCATCGCCGTAAATCTGAAATATGACATTCACTCTGTTGCGCCCGAGTTTATCTTTCGGAAAGAGCCCGGCTCGCATGCGACCTGATTACCATTGCAACGCCACATCATTTTTGCAATTCCCCTAATACGTTTTTTTCAGATATAGATCTCGGTACTCGGTGTATGCATTTGGGACTCGGACGGTTCTCGGGAACATCAATCATCTTATAAAATCGTACAACAAAACGAAACGTTTTAACACCGAATTCATCAGAGATTCACCGCATTCATTTAGATCGAGATCCGAAGGCCGAAGGAGAGAAGGATGCGGGGAAAATTCAACGGTGAGGAAACGCGAGAAAACAAAAGTGGCGTGAATCAGCACGCATTATTTCCCGGACACAAAGGCGCGCGATTGTTTGCGGTAATGCGCGCGAGATCGATCTGACCGATTAGTTAAATTAGGGGAGAACACTCGTCGTTGGGCAAACGTTAATTAGGTGAATTTCATTCGTACAACGCGCATCTCCAGAGACCGACCGGAAGCCACGCTCGGGGAGGAACGCTCTGATTCCCAAGATAATGCGCCCGGATTTTTCTGGATCCTCCGCTCTCGTTAGTGGCGCAATTACGGGGGAAAGTGTTCGGCAGGGCGCAAAATTACCCACGTCGAAGTAGATCGCGGTATTTGCGCTTTAATGACACACCGCATTTTGTGCGAACTTTCCGCCGCTTTTGCTCCGCACGTCGCCTCCGCCCCGTCGTCCCGCCTCTTTAATCAGCGGCGCAAATGGTGAATACGAACTTTCAGACACGTGCAACTTTTAATGGTTTTGTCGAGCGTGTCGTAAATCGCGATGCAGCCTGTGTAATCGGCCAACCAGCGTGCTTTTAGTGTGCCACCAGGGTTAATCCTTTTTTAGGGTGGATAAATTTTGAGGCTGCCCTTTGGAAAAGCGTGGTAATTTATTTTGACGCGACAATGCATAAGACCACAACAAGGGTATTTTTAAATTTAATTTTTTGAAGATACAGAGATAAAAACTACAAATGCGAATGACAAATATACAAAAATGTAAATATATAAAAAAATTTCTATAGTGTAATAAATTTCAATGATAAAGTACTTAAAAGAATTAAATATACTTAGATATCGATTAATTATAAAAATTATAGAATTATGGAAAATTTTAAATTTATAAATATATATTATTAAAAGAATTCGAATTATAAATACTACAAAAATAAATATCGCTAAATGCTGCATTTTTTCATATTATAAATTGCAAACTAATGCAACTAAATTGCTAGGATGCTCTTATTCACTTTTTGTATTTAATTGGTTGATTACTAAATGATTACTATTATGAATAAATGATAAGTGAGCTTTTTTGATAAATAATAAAAAATATTTGTAATCCCATTAACGTTGGATTTTTTAAGTGTTCATAAAATTTCTCTCGTGAAAATATTTTCGAAATAAAATGCAAATGCATTGGACTAGTGGTAGTAACACAATTTATCTACTTTCTCGCCGCATAATTTTCTCACCGCATAATAGTATAATATCTTTTGTCGGTGGCAGAAGCTGGCTGTTAATGTTAAAGTATTTTACTATTTACTGATATTTACCAGTTTATGATCGCAATTTACGAAACAAGAAATCTTCTTCCTCGAAGGAATAAAGTTTCTTTTCTCTTTAACAATCATGTTGGAAACTTAACAACGATAAGCCTAACATAAAATATATAATTGACACAAAATAAGAAAAGAAATGACACAAATATAATGACATAAATAATTTATAATAAATTAGAAATCGAATAAAAATTTATATATAAAAAATTATATCTAACTGATATATATATATATCCATGACAAGTTAATTTTACTAATTTTTAAAGAATATTAATTTTGATATCGTTTTAATAAGATATTGAGATTGAAAATCTATGTTGCTAAATTTCTTTCTCAAATATATTCAATATCGATCCTTCGTTATTAAGAACATATTTGGAAAATACTTAAAAAAAAACAATGTTTACACTTTTCATTGTATATAAAATAAAATTATTATTGTCACCTAAGACTATTCCAACTTTGTGCGCGAATAAGTGCGATCCCAGTTCTAAAATAAGCACGCAATCAATGCCGGCAGCAATCGCCTTCCTTTCGATCAGCGAAAGTGCTCGCTCCCGCTTAAGGGTTAAGGTGACGACGAATTACAAGCGTAGCTCTAATGTCGTGTAGCCACCGTCCGACACGCGCGTCGCGTCGCGTCGCGAGACGTTACGCGCGCGCCGGGGGGGGAGAGGGTGAAAATCGGCCGCGGCCGCCTTGAAAACCGGCCGGTTAAGGTAAAGAAGTTCGTGTCGCGCGTATCGATTTCGCGGTCAGCCAGTCGGCCAGTTCGAGACGGGGGCAGAGACGGGGGAAGAGGGAGGGGGAGAGGGAGGGAAGGGGAGGGAACGCGAGAGGGTGGTTGAAAATCTTTGCGTGACCGGTCGCGGCCGGCCTCGCGCCTTCGCCTGCCACCCTCGCGGCCACGTCCTGCCGCGACTGCGGCACCCGCAATCACTGACCGAAAGTCAGCCGGAGACCGGCCGACGGTGATGGCCGCTCGTTGAGCTTACGAACCCGCCGTCGCGATCCCGCGATTTCTCCGCCCTCATCAATTCTCGCGCGCTCGATCACCATTCCGGCCGCTCTCTCGGGGCCCGGCCTTACTCCTCGCCTGATGTTTCTGATTTTCCACCCGCGAGCCGTCTGCCGTCGACCGCGTGTCTACCGCGACTTCGTGATCCGCGATCGCGCCATCGACGTTCACCGATCGCCGCTCAAGTGTCCGGAAGGTGGTTTCCCATCCTGCGAAGGAGTTGCGTGGAGGTAAGCGGTTTCCCCGATTGCGATTACGTGCGCGGATAGGGGGATGGGACCTGCGCGGCTTCGGGGTGCACCTCCGGCTTTGGTATGTGGTGAGGATTTTGTGTTCTGATGAGCCTCCCTTGTGCGCGAAGCTTCATACTTCAGTCGATCGCCCGGCCCGTTGGTGGGCCAGCGAGTCACGAAACATCACGTTTCGCCAGTAAATAGGCGTTTGCACTTTTTTTTTTAATGCGCATTTATGCACGATAGCTTGTAGTCTATTTAACTTTGAGACAAACTTGGAAACGCAAATTATGAATTGTCAAAAATTTGTTACCCTACCGTAGCCAGGCAGACTGCGATTTCGACGAAAAATTTGCGCCTTCGAGCAATCTAAATATTATGTCTCGTGAATAATCCGTTCTTCATCTAGTTAACGTAATCAATACTTTCTGATATTACTATACATTTTACACATGACTCATGTATGTATACAGGTGTATATAGGTGCTAATAGCCTATGCAGCTAATGTAAAATCGATAATAATTTTTCAGGAATAAATAGCCAGACTTGCCGCATAAAGTAAATTAAGTGAGAAATATACAAATATTTTATTTTTAAGAAAATTAACATATAATTTTAAGTACGTATAATAATCATATGTTCTTTTATAATATGGATCAGGGGTTACTTACTATACATTCATTCTTATCTTAATATTTGATAAAAAAAAATAAATATATATACTAATGCATAAAGTGGATATATGATCAAGACGTATAATAATTTTTCCAAATTGGATATATGTGTCTTTTATAAATTTCCTTCTAAAAAATTTCGTTCTAATAAACGATGTGCCTTGACTTTTTGTAGTGTCCTGGCATCGAGTAACGAGAAGCAACGTGATAGCGAAAAACTGTTGGCACGTTGGGGAAGGTCCTTGAGTCAATACTGTAAGTGCTGCTCCGGTATGAGATGCCTGGCCTGCCGCAGGGACCCCAAGGGTCTTTTGTGGACCAGGAATCAAGGAAGGACGACGGTGGCCAACAATACCCCATCGCCTGTTGCAACCCCCACGCTCGATGCACCGCCACCCGCAACGAACACATGCTGGTCGAAATTAAAGGCGCGATGCAGGTATCGTTTAATAATTTAAATTTCACTTAATCAATTTAAATTTCACTTGGCACACTGTCCCATTGAATAGCAATTGCATTCGCATTATATGTTTTTATATATCGAGAAAGTGAAACAGGTTTAAGTGGTGAAAGCAGAAAATATATAACAAAGATCAATAACGGACTTTCTAGAATATCAAAAGCAAACAAGAACAAAAACTAAGAGAGAATATGAGAGTCAAGAAGGGTACTTTGTTGTGCTAAAATTAAGCTTTATATAAATAAATAAATGGTATCAAAATATATGAAAAAGAAATGTATAGCAAAAAGGATTTTATTTATTTTATGAAAATATTACGAAGATATCTTATCGAGTTTCACTTCTTTTCACATCATTCCGTAACTTATTATTTTTTTACTTAGTCGTAAACCTGCTTCTAGAACTTCTTGGACTCGGTTTTATATAATTTTCTCTGCCACTTATATTACCCTCCTTGCTCTACTTTGCTATTATATATATATATATATATTTATGTTTCCAGTTTCTAGACTTTTTGTAGGTGCAATTTGTCTCTTTAGAGCTTTAGTTCCAGTTTTGGAATATTTTAACGCCTTCGCTAAGTATTCTTAAAGTAAAAATTCACGCTTATTGAAAGAAGCACTTTAATCTTTTAGGTATCTTTTAGAAAGAGAAACGTGTCACTTTGGATACCTCTCAAGATCTTTCACATTTTTTATTATTGTCAGAGTTACTCAGAGTCATTGTATGTCAAGCGAAATTTAGGAATATTTTCATCGCACAAATATTTCTCTGGCAGATGTGCTCGTCTACGAGAGAGATTCCAAGAGATTAAATGTTGCACGAGAAAATCGAGGGTCGCCCCCGCCGAGCGTGCCGTTTGCTGCCCGCCGGAGAGAAGATGCGGTGCGATCTGTCGTCGCATGTTCGGCTGTTGCAGCGGCAAATGCAGCTGCAAACGCGCGGACACGCAACAACGCACAAGAAACACACGTGCCAAGCACAGTCTCACAAGCGTAGCGCCACCGCCCCTGTCTGAGGTACGTGGACGCGCATACGAATTATCACATTATATTACATCTGTCAACGAGAACAAATCGTCATTTTGCACTTTGTCACTTTTTCCTTACCAAAAAAAAATTGTAATTATCCGAAATAAAAATTGCTGTTATGATTTTAATAACATAAAAAGTACAATTTTTTTTTTTTCATTACGCACAGCGCATTTCGCCTACTTTCTAGATGTTCTCTATTACATATATATATATAAAACAGATAGAAAGTTTTAAACTGGATGAATTAATATTTTTAAATTTGTTTTTTAATTTGTTTTCACGACTGATTCGTGGTCGGGCCGCCCCGCCGACGCACATCCTCCCTTCTTATTTCTGAATTAGGCATTTTTTTTTATTCGAGATACGGCTCGGTTCGCTCGGCAGATATTATAATGTTTTAAATATCGTTTCTAGACTTTTTATTTATAATATGAGAATTTGACGCGCTTGCAGGAACCGAAATCTAAGATACCGGATGTGTTGGTGGAGCACAATTCTGTCATGCGTGGCGCTATTCCTTGTCTACCCGTTCCCCTCGCCTGGTTCTGTTTAGTCTGGAACGTTCTATTGCCGGGCACCGGTATGAACAATTAATTATTAAATAACAAATTAATTTCTTGAACCTTAAAATGGTTTATTCCTTAGTATCAAAGCAGTCACTAATCAGTATTCTTTGACTATTTAACTGATATCATGTAGGAACCGTTTGGAGTGGTCTGTTCAATCTGTGCACCGGACAGCCGAGATTCTCTGCCGTTGCCGGAGTGAAATCACGACTTGGTGCATTTATCGTCAATCTCATCGTGGGCGTGGGCCAATTATTTACCGTTCTGTTCTGCCTCGTTGGATGGGGCTGGAGCATTTGGTGGGGCGTCACCATGGTTCGCTTGGCTAGTAAGTATTCTATGATAAAACTTTGATAAAATTACATCGTTTATCGAATTATTGATAATAAATATTCGATTTTATTTGCAATATATTATCTAGCACTATATTATCTAAAATTGATCATACAAAATAGTAATTCTATTTTACGCGATCATAAGATTTTACAAAGTGATTTTCATATTTTTTTTTTTTTAAGAGAGAAACTATATTTTTTTTATTTAAAATTGATCGCAAGTTATTTGTAGAAGATTATTATTAGTTTATTTTGTTCTTTTAAATCCTAGAATTCTGGAATTCTGTAGTGGAATGTAATAACATTCCGGAATGCATGACGCGACATGTAAAGCGTACCAAATTACAGGGAAATACAAGAGGTTCAAGGCTTCGGAAGCCGCCAACAACGACCCTGAGGCCAGAGGGGGTGAGGCAGCTCCCTTACCTCCCGGTGTGCCGAGTCAAGCCCTGCGAGGGATGGAGAGGGCGCGATGATGCATTTTTAATGAAGATAGAAGCGCGATCGTCCTCCGGTTATCTAAAGATATTTTGTATCTCGTTCGACAAGTCTTCGCGTATCGTTTAATGTCGATCATTCCGAAATGAAGGCTATCGTTCGTACGAATAAAATTTTATTGCGAATATAAGCATCTTGTACAAACGGTTATATATTTGTGAAGACGATATATATTTGTGAAAACAATTAGTCGATAAGAACTTTCCTCGGTTGCGATCGAGTTAATTAAGAAGCTTACGACAATAACATGTTAAGCCGTACGGAATAAAAAATTGCACACGGAATTAAAAAAGTCCGTGAATTATTAAAGCTCTATCTCTACCTCTGTGCCTTTTTCTTCCATCATTCATTCCTCGCTATACTTCTAAAGGGAAGGAAAATCTTCTATCGAAGTTAGTAATAGAATCTCTAAGTATAAGCCAGGAATCTCGTATCAAGACTTTTCTTCTCGTGTGGCTTAACATATTATTGCATCAAAATTTTCAATTTTCAATAAGAAATTTTTCGAAAGAAAGTATCGCCGAGATTTCCTTGCGGGGTGCTTGTAAAGTTTCTACTCGAGTGTTCTGAAATCAGAATTAACGTGTACATTGCACTGGAAAGTAACTTTTTAAATTGTATTTTAAATTAACATTACACGTTATCCTCTCTCTTTATTTATAAAAAAATATATTGCAATAAATAATTAGCAATATTAATTAACAGTATTATTAATTGGAGGAAAAAGTTTCAGAAAGGAATTAAAGAAGCTCAAAGCTGTCTTATTAAGAATTAATAAAGAAATGTGACAATTTTAAATTTCACAACATCCCTGAAAATTTTCGAAATCTCTTTTTTATGGATCAAGGATCGACATGATCGATTTAAATGAGGCATATCAGATACTTCGCGAGCGCCCTGCATTTTTCTACGCAGCGAAAACTTTCGTTCTCGTCGACGAAAGGTTCAATTTTTGTAAAGCTGGCGTTTGTACGCGCACGGCTCGTGGCCTATCAGAATCCGAAGACGTCTTTGAAGATTACTCGCTTTCAGTGAAAGCATCTTTAACCGAGGCGTTCTTTCAAAATGTACTCGTTGCGTCGATGAGGATGATCTATCGGAAAACGGATTGCATAGACGGTAATCGTCACGATATTGAATTGGAGTATCTGGAGCATTGGTGTACGAGTAGACATTAGATTTATACACGGTAGCTAAGCTCGGGGTCTTCAGGATGGGATTATCGTAGTCCCTAAGGACAGTTTTAAAAACGATATCGATGGGATAATTACGTTTTGAAAAAACGCGCTTTATATTTTTACAAGCGCAACATACACACGCATATGTACGAATATTGGAGACTATCCGATTAAACTTATACTTATAATTCTTGTAAATATGAAAAAATATATTACTTACGTCAATTTTTAACGCAACCCCTGCCTCTGGGAATTCTTGTACTTTCCCCCTTCTTCCTTCCGGTCTGCAGTCGCTTCTACATCCTCATATATATATATATATATATTCTTTATCTGCCAAACTAATACATCTATTCTATATTTTCCAATAAATATAATTAAATGTAATTAAATATAATTTTAATATACATTTTTATTGAATTTACTATAAGAAAGATTCGCTGAAACGACGTCACGCGACTAGATCGTTTTCAGTTTTTCTTCCACGTGTAAAACGATAAAAAAAAGAAGAGAGGAGACGTCCTCGTAATAAGATAAACGACGGTAAACGAAGGGTGGATTTGCGAGAAAAAATATTTCGTTTGGCGGAATTTATCGTGTCATCCATCATTCGATGATATCGCGACGCTGCAAGATGCACAAGTTCAGAGAAACGTGCGCATGCTCATGAAATGCGGAAGATCTAGTGAAACTACTACCTTTAAGCATGCAAATCGATCGCATGCCCAAGCAGCTCTATTTCAAGCGGCTGTTATCAAGATCGCGTTATTTTTGTTTTTATCGAAGGCCGGCAGCGTTCGCCGCGTTATTTGGTTATGCGTTTTGGTTATGTGAAGATGTGGTCCATGTGATCTGTGTTACTAACCCGAGCGGCAGGCTCCGATCTATTTATCGATTTGTTCGATAAGTATTCTTCTCATCTACGAGTCCTGTTCGATTGATACGAGATTGTATTCCTTTCAGTGAAATGGCGACGTAATAATATAAAGTAATAATATATAAAGGCACATCACCAGGCTTCTTCACGAGTGAAATATCGCAAAGGGGTGAAACGAGCGTTCAAAGTAAAACGCCGTCCCGATCGACGGGGATGAAAACCCCGAAAGGAGAAAAGAAGCGACGTATTCGCATCGTTAAACCGTGTTATTTTACGACGATTTTCTCTTTTCGAGAAACGATTATTTTCACAGAGATTGAAAATAATCTCCCTTTTCGCGCGCGCGAGACGCTCTTTCCCTCTGACATTTTACACGCCGGCGATCAATTTTCGAGCGTTACAAAGCGCGCCGCGCTCGTTTTCATTCATACCGTCGAGTGTCGGTCGTTAAATATATCTTATTAGCGGCGCGGACGCGCTGCCGTTATCACGCTCGGCATTCGGTTTCCCTTCTCCGGGAAATAATGTGCGAGATTCGCGGCGATCCGACACGCCCGCGCGTGAATTCGTGTGAATTTCGCCGACAGTTCGTGAAAATTGCGGAGGCGATCGGGCGGAGGAGCGTGTGCTCGCACCGCTATGCGGTTGATATACGCGGCGCCTTATCGGCCGCAATTTATCGCGACCACATTGCATAAACTTTCGCGCCGGTTTTATGCATTACGCTCGCGAGACGAGGAGCGACCGCTGAGCTTTAATCGCGACCTCCTCTTTTATTATTTCCCGGTCCGGATCGATCCGCGGTCGCCACAAACGAAAGAAAAAAAAAAAAGAAAGATTAGATTTGCCTCGAGTTGATTATAACGTGGAGATCGAGTGCACTCATCGAGAAAGAATGTACGCTCTGGTAATCGATTGCCGTTCGTATTACAGGAACACGCGCGAAACGTGTATTAATGAAGACGATTTTTCCTTGAGAAGATAATTTTCTTGAAATAATTGACAAATACAGATAACGAAGAAGAAAAGGAAATTGCGCGGGAAGTATATAATAACCGGACAAGAAATTAATTTTGTATCAAATGTCGTTGTAATTGTAATGGAAAGCTAGAAGGATATAAGACTTTTTTTTTTCACAAGCGCCTAAATTAATCGTGAAGGAAATTCTCGTAAGATCCTGACTCAAAGGAACGAAAAGTATGCATAGAGAAATTAAGCTGGGATTAAATTCCGTGAAATTAAATTATATCGTAACGTATACTTATATGAGTTTCATTAAATAAATTAAAGCGATATCCAATGAGATTACAGAAAAATAAAAGGGCAAAGCATGCACTCATTTTTCGAAACAATTTCACTCACGTGAGAGTGTGTAATTGTTAAAATATATGATAATGCATATACAAATTACTTTGTCAAATAATACATGATGTATAATTGTATAGTACCCTATACATTTCGTTGCCGACTTTCCTGGCAATGCTGTTTTTCGCAACGATTGCAATTACGCAATCGCCGCAAAATGTATCTTTGAGTAGTAGTATATAGTTGGAGCAGGTGAATGATATCTGGGGGTGAGTTGAATTAAAATTAAAAACTCACATTTTTTTAAATATATGTGTGTGTATATATATATATATATATGAAATTTATGTATGTGAGATAGAGTGAATTTGTTTAGCGACGAGGCAGAGTTGGTAGAGTAAGTTGAAGTATGTCAAACCAATGAAGCGAGTTAAATTTTAATACAATTCACCCGCCAAAAATCTATTTACCTGCTCTGTTAATATCTCGAAAATAGCGCAACCATCATTAATTAATGTTTTACATTCGTTAACTTTGAGCAGAATTTGCTCTCGGAAAGTTTTGACATCAAATTTAAAAATATTTAATGCCGGATTAACATTAAAAATTCTTAAGAAAAATTTTTTCTCGTAGAAATGTTTGATATGAAAAACCCGAAATACAAACGTATTTAAAATTTTTTTCTTATAGCTCAATTTTTCAAACTGATTAAAATAAATTGCAGTATGCAAAAAAATTGCGATATGTCATTGGCCTTTTATATATAAAATTGTCTCCTACATTCTTTGTAGTTTGTTATTAAAAATTGATTGCATTAAAATTGTACGTAATTATTTACATCGTGTATCGCAAAACAGAGACAGAGAGACGGGATACATGAAGATCTTTGAGAATGATTGCCCTGTTTCCGAGTTATCAATATTATGCCATGGTATATGGTGTGGGTGTCAATGAATCGAGTCGCTGACGCTGGATATATATATATATATATATATATTGAGTAGTATATGTTTTAATGATGTGATTCCATAATATGTCAATATGCACAGGTAAATATTCTTGTCATTATAATCGACGTGTTACAGTGTGTAATGTGATACGATAGTAGTCGGTTTATAGTTAATCACTTCCTTCCCTTTTTCTCTCGTATAATTAAGAACTTAAAATAACTCTAAAGAATAAGCTACATCACTATCGGCTAGCGACTATTTAGCGGTAATAATAGCCTACCATGTCTTTTACTAGCGGCGCTCGAGATGAGTGTGTATATATTGTTTTTTTTTGTTTTTTTTTTTAATAGTTTTTACTCTCTACTCCCTCTTACTCTCTTCCTCCCTAACTGTGATCTATCCTGCAAAATTGTCGCTTTTGTCAATTCTAGAAGTACCAAGTTCGTGTAAAATTGTGAGATGAGTTCCGAGTCGAGTAGCTCGATCTCGATATATTTCAGGAAATGTGTCAATATTAATTCTTGTGATGCAAATACGCGAATAAGCGAACCTCGAGATTTTCAGAAGAGAGACATCTCGCTTTGACAGTCACGGGCAAAAAAGAAAGGGATACATCTCTGGCTAGCGCATATGAGAAGAGAAAGCTTGGTACTTCTGGGATTAATGTTACCGATTCACGCCCGCTGCTTCGCTTCTGTCGGCCGCTCGAAAATGTATCTCCCTTGCGATTTTCGTGCAACGTTTCAGGAACTAGGTTCGAGGAAAGATCGTCTTTCATCCTGCGTTGCGCTTATTGCAAATCATGTCGATCCAATGAAAATCTAATGGATATCCGTTAAGCGCACCAAGTTTCATCCTTCAGTGCTTTTCGTGCATAACTAATGCAAGGTTTAACAACAGAGGAATTAATTATCGTGCTGAAATCATATCGAAACAAACTGGCAAACGGCTTTGT